GCCGCACGCAGCCCAAAATTAAATTGCTTAATCGACCATCGATAGCTTTAATCGATTGCATCTCTTATCGACAATGAATCGATCATCGATTAATCGTTGACATCCCTAATATATATATATATATATATATATTTATTTATTTGCATTTTTCTTGTTTTTAAATGGTTAAAGTGTTGTCTTTTTCTTTTAGATGATTACATTGCGATTGGTGCTGACTGCGATGAACTTGGAGCTCAGATAGAAGAATATATCCTTTTCATATTCATCCCAAAAAAGTAGCAATTGTTATTGAAATGTGAGCGAAGTCTAAAAAAATACTAGTTGTCAGTATACTAAATTTTACATGCATTTCCTTGATCAACTTGCACGTATCTTTTTGGAGTTCAAAAATACTGATATGAAATACAAGAATCGTGTACGAAGCCGAATATCCAATCTTAAGGATGCAAAGAACCCCAACCTGAGAAGGAATGTGCTGTGTGGTAATGTGAGTCCAGACCGCATAGCAAAAATGACAGCAGAGGTGAGTGACAACCAGTTCACTTTAACATTGTGTAATAATTATAGAAACATGTTCTCTCTCATACTGACATTGTGGAAATCTAAATCCAACAGGAAATGGCAAGTGATGAGCTGAAGGAGATGCGTAAGAATCTGACCAAAGAAGCCATCAGGGACCACCAGGTGGCCACTTCTGGGGGCACCCAAACTGACCTGTTTACTTGTGGCAAGTGCAAAAAGAAGAAGTGTACCTACACCCAGGTAATCCTAGACAATGTTTATGAATGTCAGTGTAGGGTTTTTTATTTATACATTTTATAAACACACAACTTTCTTTAGGTTCAAACTCGAAGTGCTGATGAACCGATGACAACATTCGTCTTCTGCACTGAATGTGGAAATAGGTGGAAGGTATGTTTTTTCTTTTGCCATTTTCTTTTGTTGTATCCATTGATAAATTGATATTATCCACAAACAAGACAAATGTAATTAACGCTGTCTCTATTCAATCTGTTTCCACAGTTCTGCTGAAGTTGGGGGTTGTTCTCTGTGTTTGGAGATGTAGCTAAATTCCAGGACCACGTTTCTGTATCATGGACAACAATTTATTGGCCCACCTGATGTACAAAGGCCACACTCAACTGTTTGTTTTATTTTAATGGTCCAAACTCATGTCCTGTGTTTTAACTTGACGTACAGCTAGGCCATAGGCCTTTGGACTATGATCAATGTTGTTGAATTTCTGTTTTCTTTTACCATCACTTTTTATATGTAGTTAAACATTTTGACGACAGACCACATTCATATTTAGACAGTTTTGCTTTGCTCTAATGAAAGCTAGTCAAAAATATTTAATTTTCCTAGACTTGCCCATTTTCAAATAAAATGCTTTTAGCATATGTTTGCTTTTGGTAACAGCTCAAGATTTTTTTTAACCTCGTTCGTTTGAAAGCAACTGAGTTTCTTTGGCACTCTGAATTATACATATTTATACGCATGATTTACACATTTTTACTGTGTACATGGCTTTTACTTCCAGGAGTAAAATGTTTTAAAGATTGATGGTGTTTATGATTTTTATACGTCATATTAACAAGACGCCACATTATGTCTCTGAGATGGTTGATTTTCTTGTCAATTCTCTTCTTCTTTTTTTTCTGCGTATAACTTATTTACAAGCAAATGGATAGTCTTATAGATCAAGTTCACTGTAGGTTCTTGTTTTTTTTTTTAAGTGATTTTTTTGTTTTTTTTCTGAATTAAAAAAAAAAAAACAATCTTTCATTCTCATATCAGGTATGTTAGGCCTCTTTTGGGTCCAAGTATTATCTACAACAGCTTTTTATAATAACTTTTGTGCATGATAGGGATCTGAATTAATATTTGAGTCCCATCCATAACAATCTCTTTCTTTGTTATGTTTTGTTTGGTAGAGGTCGTGTTTGTTTTTTTCTGAGGTTTTCTCCAAAATAAAAAAGCTAATAATTTAACAAGCAACAAAGAGCATTCCCATAAAACAGATTTATAATGAGATAATGTGTTGTAAAAAAATATATATATATATACAGTGGGTACGGAAAGTATTCAGACCCCCTTAAATTTTTCACTCTTTGTTATATTGCAGCCATTTGCTAAAATCATTTAAGTAAATTTTTTTTCCTCATTAATGTACACACAGCACCCCATATTGACAGAAAAACACAATTGTTGACATTTTTGCAGATTTATTAAAAAAGAAAAACTGAAATATCACATGGTCCTAAGTATTCAGACCCTTTGCTCAGTATTTAGTAGAAGCACCCTTTTGATCGAATACAGCCATGAGTCTTTTTCATATTAGATAAGTCATGGCAATGTTACTTTTGACATCGGCAATCAATACAAAGTGGATAGTACTTGCTTTGCATCCAGATGACATGTTGCTCAGTTTAGTGAATTTCTATCGCTCTCTTCTCAAATGATTTTGCTGTAGTATCCACTACCGCCTTGATGTCCTAATAAGCCCCTTGCATTAGCAATGTCTCATCTGAATAACAAACAACCCTTTGGTGGTTGTTCTTGATGTGCTTTTGTGCAAATGGAAAACAGGAGGTTTGTATCATTCTAAAACCACTGCATCTTTGCTAATCATTTACAGTAGTTTAAGATAAGCAGAACAACTCGCCCATTTTTAATAAGAAAAGATGTTTACATTAATGCTTTATATATACACTAACTTTAGCCCTTAGAAACTGTTAAATGGGGAGGACACTTGCTTCAAGGTTATTTTGTGAGGTTCCCAGGTGCATCCTCTCCAGAGCAGAGAGCGAGTAGGCAGCACGGTTACGCTTCACTGTAAATGAAGATCAAACTGAAACCCCTGGGGTTATTCTGAATATTTGGATTCATTATTTACATGGCAAATATAGATCAAATAATGCCATTTTTGGTACTGGTGATTTTCTAAAAAAAAAACTTTTTTGATTATGCATTTATATGCATGCCCTACAAATCATATCAATGTATTTTTTATATATATTTTTGATTAGCTGATAATTGTATGTATATATTGTATATATATTTTCTATTATTTAAAATTATTTATTTATGGTCCCACAAGTTCATATATGGCAATATGTCAATCCACTATTCCACAGCTCTGACAACAATCACGCATTTTAAAATTATTGTGCTTTATTTTATCTTAAAAGATTCCAAATGCCCACAAATCATTATTTTTTCTCAATTCGTTAAAACAGAAAAAAACTAATCTGATTACTGTAAACATTCACATTAATAATTAAAAAATGTATAATAATTTTTATGTAAACTGATTGGAAAATAACCCTTTTTTTTGTATACTTTACAGAACAAAATAAAAGAGAGAGAAAGACAAAAAGATTTATAGGCAGTATAACTCCAAACCATTGGCTTAGATTGTGTTTGAGGGTTGACCTATGTGGTGAATCCATTAGCTCAAATTGCACATATCAATTGCACATTTCATATTAAGTTAGTCTAAGACAAGTAGAAGCACCACCATGAAATACATGTTGGTAGATGTATGTCTGGACAGATCAATAATTTTAATGAATTGTACCTGACTAACCGACAAACAGACCCACTTTCTTAAATGTGCGACTTCAGCACTTGACAAAACCAATGGTGTTTTTCGCTCCAAAACTAGAGGCAAATGAAGTGCAATAGTTCAATTCAGATGTCACCGTGCAGGACAAGTCATCTCATGAACTGATCAAAGGCCCAGAGTCTATGTATTGTATGTGGCAAGAGTTTAAATCAACTATTGCCAAAAAAGAGATGCCACAAAATTGAATGTCAAGGCACTTCCCCGAATGAGGATCTTGTCTTTGAGCGACATGAAAGTCAGGCAACAAAGTAATTCACAGAACTAAAAATATAGTAAGAACTTGGCAGCTCCAATTCTAGTCGGTTGTATTGGAGAGAAAGCTAATCGCACAGTTTTACTGGACTTGGCTACTTTGGTGTCATCTACTTATGAGGGTCCTAGCAATAAAACCTGCCCCTTCCCATTCAGGGCTCATGTTTAGATCTAAAGCACATTTGATACTGTAGTATAATACCTGCATGTTAAATCTCTTCTATTTGAGGTCATTAGTAAAAATATTACTACCTCTACATACTGTACACAAATTAAGCTTTCAGTCTTTATAGTGTCTTTGGGTTGAGTACATGCAAGGAATAGTTGCCATGCCCAACCAACTCTTAGCTGCTTGTTCGGAATGTAGCATGGGAATAAATGAATGCTATGACACAGAAAAACACTTATAGATCGATGATATTTCTGTAAATAAATTCTTGATATTTTCTAGCAGTACATAAGGCAGAGAAAATAACTGTACTAAGCTGTCTGATATATGCTATTTGATTTTGAATACTGATTTAAATACGTTTCATTCATTATGATAATATTTATTTCTTATCCATGATACAGTGCAACCTTTTTTAATATAATATATTTCCCCCTTACAATAATTATCTCTTTGATTACACTTTAAAAAAAAAATTTCTGATAATGATGATTTCTCATTGGAGATGCCAAGTCATTATAATAGGAATTATTAGATAAAGTAGCTGAAACAATACTTTTTACAACAGGGCGGTCCTGTGAGTAGAGCTGAAGTGTTGCCTTGACTTGAGCTTTGATTCTCATACGCATTTTTCATAAGCGGGCAATTCTTGTTCCCCATAATTCCCTTTTCTTTAAATATTATAACACGAGAAAAAAAATTCATAAATATATCTACTGTATATACTGTATATAGCCCACGATTGGTATCACATCTTCCTTCGAACATTGATACAAAAAAAATGAATTAAAAACAATTAAAAAAAAACTTCAACACAAATAAAATAGATTATTTTCTTTAAAACATCTAAACGCACTGATAATCCTTTGAAGCATCGTTTGCTATACTGATCTGTAGCAGTACTTGTGGTGTTGAGCCCTCAGGAAATTTGAGACAATTTTTTTTTTTTTTAATCCAGTAACCTGGAGACCTGAGCGTCTTTTTTTCAGGTACAGATCGCTATAGCGGTAAAATCCCTGGGAAGACCCACGCTGAGGTCCTTTTAAACATATTCTACACAAGAAAAGGTAACAAACAAAAGATAGGGAGGGGGCATTCGACCGGGATCACAGAGATCTAAGATTCCACCAACTGCTCAGGGACTGTCTTGAGCAGGGTTTTGTAGACCTGCGAGTTCATGAATCGCGGATATGAGTCTCTTTGCATTAGTGTGTATATCTGGAGCTGGGCATCGTCAAACGTGTGGGATGATGGCTCCAACATGTTCCTGTTTATAACCTCTCGAACTCTAGAGTCGAGGCTCACCTGAATAAAATGCACAAAAATCAAGAATATTAATCACTCTCATTATACAGGAAATGTGATTAGGTTGTTCCTAGACGGACTGATGCATACTCTCACCTCTTTGGGTGAGAGGATAGAGACGTAGTCTTCATATATTATCCGCGCCCTCTCCTCGATGACGCTCTTATTAGTTTCCTTACTGAATTCCTCGCAGGCTAACCAGAAGAGCATGTTTTCCTCACTGAACTCAGTGCGCAGAAACTGCCGGAAGGCACTTCTTCCAGTGGGGCAGTGCATCAGTTTGTCGAAAGATTGCCCCCACAAGAGGACCTCCTCCGCAGTCGGATTCAGACTGCCAAAAAACAGAGGGGTCTTAGTCAATTTTGGCAACAAACGAATCAGCAACATGTTTTTTCAGGAAATACTGTTACAGCAAAAATATTTTAGGTCTAATTTGTCAGAAAGTTGCATCTTGCAGAACAATAGTAATTCATTTAAATAAAAATTGTATTGTGTAATTTCTCATCTGGCAAAACTATAGTAATTAAAGATTTTAAAAAATATATATGAATATCAAATTACATCTAATTAAAATAACATTGTAGCTAACCAATATGTCCGTTTTTTTGTAAAAACGACTGACCTTTCTTCGAAGTCCGCATTCCCCTCTGCTTTAAAATCATACGAGGCTCTCCGGTTCCTCTCTTCTCTGTCTTCATTCCTAACAGTGAGACTGCAATGTAGTAAACACATCATGATCCCAAGACACCTAACAGTAGGCATTAGGAAGCCTTGGAGTAGCTTTCACCTGCTCATTGTTCAGTTTATAACTGTAACTGGTGCTCATTATAAACTCACAGCCAGAATGTCATGAGTTCTGGTGGTTTTCAAAGCAGATATCTTGGGATCTCAGACACTTCAGTAAACATTACATAAGACTTTACATGCAGAATGAACAAAAATAGTATTTAAATCACATCTAAGCAATATTCCAGGTATATTTACTGTAGTAGAAGATATGGAATAGTCTTGTCAGATGCAATTATTTTCTTATAATACAGTGATTTCCTGGCCATTAGTTTGGTCCGAAATGAACCTTGTTAGATAAGATCTCACATTAGCAGTGTGACGAAAGAAAAAACTCCTACCAGGAGCAGCTGCAGCAACAGCACCAACAGAAGCAGCAGGCATTGGAGCCACGGTTCCCCTGGCCAGGCTGCTCGTTCTGCGCCGGTGCTGTGGTGCCCGCCACCGACTCCTGCTGCACCGACATCTGCCTCTTTCGCATCTCCATCCGCTCTGATCCCATGGGCTGCAGGAAACAGCATGCAACTGAGATGGAGCCAATACAACTGCAGCCACATATATCAAAGGGCCGCTTAATGGTTCAACAAGCAATTGTAGAGTGTAGATTTCGGAGGATGTTATTTTCCTCAAGTCCACTTAAACATTTTGTGGTTTCCATTGGAGAAAATAATGCTTTTAACGAAACAACAAATATGAACGAAAGTGGTTTCCATTAACTGATTGTGCTAGAAAATAAAAGAATGAAACAGCAACCCCCACAAGATGCTGAATGCGCATATGAATTGGGTGAAGAAGACATGCTTTAACTTGACCAGAAACCAAAATGTCCTAGCATGTCACGAACACTAACATGACCTAACATGTCATGTCATACTTATTTCAAAGGGCTCTCCACAGCTGATTTAAATACATGCATATCACCCATACTTAAACACTTGTCATATTAACACCAACATTTTTGGTAAACAATTTCTAGATTTTGTGTGGAAAAGGTAGTTTTTCCATTATAAAGTCAACCTGTACAACTAATAACTGATAGATTCCAGTTTCCACCATATCTGAATCACAAGCATGTTGATGAAATCGCTTATTATCATAAGATAATTATCACATTCAGTGTTACAGTGCTTCTCATTCTGCAAACATGCTTAGGCCTACAGCACAATACATTTAGACTTGTTGCCATGTGGGTGGGCTTCCTCTATTTCTTCAAGCTTTGGTGTCTGTACTGATTTAAACTACCTGGCTTTGGGGCTCAAATAAAACATGTATTGGGTAAAAAACCGAAGGTTCTTTGAAGCAAATAAATAAGGTCCTGGACTGAGCTGTCTTTAAATGCATACAAATAAGAGTTATAATTATCAAATGACTCCTGATCAATAGTTTTGATCTTGCTAAATCTTGCTGTGTTAATTCCAAAGAATCGTGGAATCAAATTCCTTGCTTGAGCTGGAAGATGTTGGAATATTTGGGGGTAGGAGGGGGCGCAGCACGCATCTAGCTGCAGTCAGATCCCTTCATCAGTGATCACAGCCGCGGTGCATAAAAATGCTCGGCCGTGTTTGACGGTAATAAACAAGATTTAAAAAATAATTTGGTAATTTATGGAATATTTTGTCTGCGTGATTTCAAGACTAGCAAATGATGATGATTACACTGGCTCACAGAAAACACTTATATGGTCTGCTAGATTTTACCGAAGCAGAACAGACGAAAAAAATGTATATTATAGCTTTAAATGTGAACCGCATCTTTAAAGATGGGACGCACTGTGAAAAATAAAAAGACAAAGCGCATTCTACTCTTCTGAAAAGCAAAAAAAAAAAAAAAAAAAAACCGTAGGGGACTAAAAAAAAAAAAAACCGTAGTGGACTAACAGTATTTCCATCGCATATCCTCGCATTGCAAAGTGCCACCATGAAGCACAGCTATAATATCTCTTTATCGCCCAGGACAACCATCGAAAAGACATTTGTGTCAAAAATGACATGCCATCTTCAACAATCAAAATCAAAGGTCATTTTCTCCACGGATACCTTGTATATTTAAAAACAACTTAGGATCCCCATACTTACAATTTCACCATGTATGCCCAGAGATAAGAGATATTCTTTGCCTTGATTACATCCGTTGGCATAAGGATTTTTTTAAAGACCGGCTGTTTTTTTACAATGCGCATGCGTGTTTCTCGCGAGCTGTGGCGGTGGTAGCGTAAATCCTCTGGATGTCACAGATTCATGATGCACTAACATCTAACGGTGAAACACGACATATGTAAATGTTTTCCTACAATCCTGCGGTTCTTACTTTACATATTACCCTACGCCACACATCCGCACGCGCAATGTCAGCTCAATAATAAATAAAACTCAAATATTGTTTTGTGTGTTTAATGGAGGAGGATAGCTAGGTTTAACACTGCGACCAATGAAACGAGTGGTCATGCAGACCGAGTGTCCCTGGTCTAACGGTGAAACACGACATATGTAAATGTTTTCCTACAATCCTGCGGTTCTTACTTTACATATTACCCTACGCCACACATCCGCACGCGCAATGTCAGCTCAATAATAAATAAAACTCAAATATTGTTTTGTGTGTTTAATGGAGGAGGATAGCTTGGTTTAACACTGCGACCAATGAAACGAGTGGTCATGCAGACCGAGTGTCCCTGTACGCCTCACATGAGGTGTCAATAATGTGTCATAGAACGGGACCGACAGGGTTATGGTGGACCATGGGCTTGAAAATGTGAGAAAGACCCCCGCCCTAAGCACAGAACATCATACGGAGGTTCATTTTCTTGTCAGGAACCAGGGCATCCTAAAATCACTCGAGACATAATAGATTCTTTACAAGAATGTGATAATAAATATTCACCAAATTCAAATAAATAAATAATAGTAATAATAATAAATTATATATTGAAAATAGCCTGTCGACTGGGCAAGACATTGCTCTTTCCTCATAAGAATTGTATTTCAAATATCAATGTTGATTTTGTGAAAGTTAAGAAAAGGGAAAACTAATCCAGTTGTTCTTACAGTGTGAAATAATTTAGGAATTTGATCTGAAATTACCCAGTTTTTTAATCTCAGAAAAAATATATATATTAGTAGTAGTAGTAGTAGTAGTAGTAGTAATAGTAATTACATGCAGCTGATGTCGTTGGAATATTTTGGAAATTTCTTGATTTTTCAAAATCAAATTGTTTATAGTACACCATACGAAGTGCTCAAATTGCCAGCCTCTTCTCACTTTTTAACAGAAACATACTTACTTATTAACTCTAATAGTATGGTTCTCGGTGACAGGAGTACAGAAGTGGATCGCAGCACCACTGGCTCTGTCCATGGTCCTGAATTCGCAGCAACATCGACAGTTTCGAGCAACCAAAAGCATACAAATACTCATTGTGCAACGAAATACCAAAAATAATAGTAACTCGTTATATTGTAAGCATGAGAACGGTTATAGGCTGATATGAAAACGCTTAATGACTTTAACCCAACAACATGACGTGTTCATTTGCTGGCATAATTAGCAGTCGCAGACAGTCGTGATTGCTATCTAAGGGCATTACTGACATCTGCTGGAGCTGTGAGCGGAATTGCTGGGAAAAAAACAAACGTGAGTAAGACATCAAAGACGAGCCAGCTGTGCATATTAGAAACGCCGTATTTAAAAGTGATAATGTGCGATGTAAATAATTAATATCCATCGGGAATACTTAGAAACCTGAAATATAGATTTAGGTATAGTATATATACAGAGGTATATGTACTCCATTACTTGAGTGAAAGTACAGATACTGCTGGTCAAATATGACTCCATTACAAGTAAAAGTTGTAAAGACAGATTTTTACTTAAGTAAAAGTACAGAAGTACTTGCTTTTAAAAGTACTTAAGTACCAAAAGTAAATTTCCATTTTTATGTCAATGCACTGTTTTATTGTTGTACGTAATATTTGCAATACTTCTGAAGCAACTTACAATACATTACACCTACTGAATACACTGACTAGCATGTAGTATCTTTGGAATAAAGAGCTTTTAGAATGTTAAAAACCTATGGGGGGAAAGAAATCAACACCTTATACCCACCCCCACAAAAGCAGTATGGTAGTGATCTCACACAGCTCTGACAGTGTGTGTGCACAGAGCACACATCTATGTGTAGCCATTCATCCACATTTGAACAGAGTGGACAGTGAAATCCTGTAAATACAGAGTGATAAGGAAGAAAAAAATCAAACCTGCTTTAAAACCCAGCAACACAACTGTAGCTGTACAACTTTACAACAGCAACACTGCTTTAACAAAAAATCAAAACAGCAAGACTAATGTGCGATGTAAATAATTAATATCCATCGGGAATACTTAGAAACCTGAAATATAGATTTAGGTATAGTATATATACAGAGGTATATGTACTCCATTACTTGAGTGAAAGTACAGATACTGCTGGTCAAATATGACTCCATTACAAGTAAAAGTTGTAAAGACAGATTTTTACTTAAGTAAAAGTACAGAAGTACTTGCTTTTAAAAGTACTTAAGTACCAAAAGTAAATTTCCATTTTTATGTCAATGCACTGTTTTATTGTTGTACGTAATATTTGCAATACTTCTGAAGCAACTTACAATACATTACACCTACTGAATACACTGACTAGCATGTAGTATCTTTGGAATAAAGAGCTTTTAGAATGTTAAAAACCTATGGGGGGAAAGAAATCAACACCTTATACCCACCCCCACAAAAGCAGTATGGTAGTGATCTCACACAGCTCTGACAGTGTGTGTGCACAGAGCACACATCTATGTGTAGCCATTCATCCACATTTGAACAGAGTGGACAGTGAAATCCTGTAAATACAGAGTGATATCTCTGTAGCTGACAACTGTAGCTGTACAACTTTTACAACAGCAACACTGCTTTAACAAAAAAGCAAAACACCAAGACTTATTTGACATCAAAACAAAAATTATAAAATGCTGTCTAATCGCTCTCGTGGTACTTTGATGTCATACACAGAATGGTCTGTGCAGTGCTGCTTCAAGTCCAACACCTATTGTGTTTTATTAGGAGATGCACAACAGTTCTTCTGTGGCTCTATAGGTAATATTTTCACTTACACAATTGAGCAAAATCAGACAATATTGTGTCTAATATATACCCCAATACTAACTTCCTGTTATTGAATTGTTGTAAATAAATATCACATTTGCAACTGGTCAGTGTTCAAAAAATGCTGAGAAATCACTTCATGCAGCCCTACAAGAGTGATTACTGATAAACTGTCTGAAAAAAAGAAAGTCGCGTTTTAGAGAAGAAAAAAAATCACCCACTGACTTTCAAAGCTGCTACTTAACGACTTTCTACTTCGAGGACCTTGATAGAAATGTAGTGGAGTGAAAAGTACAATATTTGTCTTTCAAATGTTGTGAAGTTAAAGTCATAAGTTCCCAGAAAAAATAATACTCAAGTAAAGTACAGATGCAC